CAGTGTGCGTCATAGCTGCCGGTCCAACGTTCAAATGGTCAGATGGTCACTTAGGCTTTTATGTATATAGATTGTGGCTCTGGCTGGTGTGGCTTAGTTGGTTGAGCATCATCCCGTGCACCCAAAAGTCACCAGGTTCAATTCCTGGTCAGGGCACATACCCAGGTTGTGGGTTCAATCCCCAGTAGGAGTGCATATGGGAGGCAGTCAATTGATGGTTCTCTCTCACATCGATGTTTCTCTCTCTCTCTCTTACTCTTTCTCAAAAATCAATAAAAATATATTTTTTAAAAAGAATTGTGGCGAGGATCAGTTTATTGAAGTGCCCATATGATTGTGCCCAGCACATAGTGTTTCTGCAATTTAATTTTAATTTAACAGAGAAATAGCTGACCCTGAAATATATGGTGATGGACTTAGACGTTGGGTGGTAAGCATACTATGGCAATCCATAGATGATGTGTTATAGAATTATACACCTGAAACTTGCATGATGCTATTAACAGGTTACCCCTAATAAATTTGAAAAAGAATAAAAGAAATAGCTGACCCTGGGAATTATGTCAACAAAGGCAACCCATGTAATAATAATCTCAGTGTTTTATGCCATCAGTAGTATTGTACTTTTAGTCAACATAGGTCAATGGTGCTGCATAGAATGTGGTGAGATACATGGTAGGTTGTAGGGGATCTAATACATGGTGATGGAAGATGGTCTGACTTTGGGTGGTGGGCACACAGTGCAATATACAGATCTTGTATCCAGGAAATATACAATGGAGCTTAAATGAACCTAATAACCAATGTCATACCAATACATTTAATTTAAAAAATAATAAAATGAAATAAAAGTTGAAACTTGAAGGGAAAAAAATAAAATAATATGGTGAAAGTTATAGTAGAGTCTACAGTTTGTGATGTAAGGTCTTCTGGTCTGCTGGGGCAGGTCTCATTCAAGCTTCAAGTCAAGGTCAGGTGTGTTCTGTGGCCCAAGCTGAAGGTGGTAGCAACTTCCTAAAGCGTGTCCTTCTGGCTGAGATCAGAAGCTCCCAGAAGAGCAAGCAGAGGCACACAATGTCACATGAGCCTTAGGTACAAAGCTGGCCAATGTCACTTCCATCCATATTTCATTGGCCACATTGCATGGCCATCTGTGGCTTCCACCACGTTCTCTCCACTATGCACATTGGCCTTTATCTGAGAAAATTTCACATAAAACAATCCAGAGTTAACAGAATGATCAATTGAAAGGTGATAACTTACAGGCCAAAATTTTTCCTCTCCCACCAATTCAAACACTTTTAAGATTCATTTTGCTTTATAAAACTCAAATTTATGAGCAGTTTGGAGGGAGGGATCTACCCTTTAAATTACTGCTGGCATTTTATAAAGGACATTGTGTCATTAGGTGTCGCTGAAGGAAGCCCTAGGTAAGAAATTTCTTGAACACTAAGTGCTTGAAAAAACCTGGCTTCCTCTGCATAATTGATGTACTCCCCTCTCACCTTCCCCCTCCCACCCCCAGAGAACAGTGTAACTGTGTTGTCCATTTTCCTTTGAGGGTCAAGACCTTCAGAGCCAAATTTCTACCTGTAATAAAATCAGTGGGACATTATAACACACTGACTTACTCTCTGGATCCTGCTTTGATTTCTTTTTTGTTATACATCATGTTATATAGAAAATTTTTTTACTCTAAGCCATATTAAGTCTTTTGTGGAATGAGGCAGATAGAAGGGAGAACAAAACAAATATTTAAATGAAATGGTGCGCTGTCAGGGTACCTAATTAAGAAGAGGGGAATCAGCGGGGCTGTTTCTCTGCTTTCTCCTCTTCATTAATTATCATTGGTCGAAAAATATTTTATTTGTAATCAAAATGAAACTAAGTCTATGGAGATTAGGTTTTCTAAAGAGCTTAAGGGCAGGATCAAAGGGGATTGAATTCGTAGTTTCAAAGTCTCCCCACTCACCCCCCCCCTCTCTAAGCCTCTCCCCTCCCCATCCTCCATCTTGAACCCACAAAAGGACATGGGCTTCCCCTTCTGCTCTTAATTCCTGTCACCCTGCTTCTGAATAGCTGGTCTGATTTCAATGGCTTCAGTCAACAGTACCTAGCAACACTTTATTACATGTCTACAAGTTCAAAAATCGAAGTGGGAAGTGTTCCCAGCTGCATAGAGCCTGGAAGAATTTGCAGTGGTTTCAAAGACCCAGTGCAGTGGGAACAGAGGGAGGGGCTATGAGTTGGCCTGTAGGCTGTTCTGGAAAGGGGTCTTCCTCCACACTCTCTACTTTCCGGGGTTAATTAGCATCCATGAGATGAGCACATTGTGCCAGAGTGAATTCTGCAGATCACAGAGGTACTGAATAGTCTCTTAAGAGAAGAGAATGCTTTTTCTGGGAAACCAAATTATAAAAAGCTGAGCCCCCAGTTGACTGTTAAAGCAAAAGCTATTAAAAGAACATCTGTAGATGATTCCCTGAAATGGGCTCTTTGTCCATTGAATGGATGATTGGAAACAGACAGGTTCATTCTCATGTCAACACTGTAATTTTGCTTCTCATAAAAGGGGTTGCTTTTCATTTCTGATATTTTCCATGTTGCTGCAGAGTCTAACCAGGTCTCAAAATAATTCCTATAATAGGAAGAGTAGAGGACACCATGTTTCTCTCTTTCAAACTGCTAGTGTTTACTTCTGAATTTTACCTGCCATGTGTGGCTTTCATTTCCTGAAATCATGTTAGGAAACTCTGGGCTTGGTCTGTAGATAAAACTGACTAATTCTGCAGCCTAACGTCCAGTCCCAGAGACATCTGAGCTCTCCTTCACTGTAATTTCCCAGAAACAGAGATGGCATCTAGTCTTACTAGTTGCTTTAACTGGGGAAATGAATGTTTGTCTTTAGCGGAGGCCAGGAAAGAGCTGTCTCCATGTACCGTTCACCTTCTGTCTCACCTGTGACCAGGAAATGGCTGCACAGTTACACTGACGGTGTGCAAGACAGCATGGCTGCTCTGTAACATCGTGTGTGCTAGTGCACATGTTCCCTTGAGTTATGGTCTTACCTGCAATATCCAGGCAGCTGTGTCTCTGGCTTTTGCAAAGAACCAGATGAAGTCAAGAAATCATCTGGTCATGAGCCCAGCCGGCATGGCTCAGTGGTTGAGCATCGACCTATGAACCACGAGATCATGGTTCGATTCCCGGTCAGGGCATATGCCAGGGTTGTAGGCTTGATCCCCAGTGTGGGGTGTGCAGAAGGCAGCCGATCAATGATTCTCGCTCACATTGATGTTTCCGTCTCTCTCTCCCTCTCCCTTCCTCTCTGAAATCAATAAATATTTTAAACAAATCAGTAATGAAAGCCAAGGACAATTCATTCAGTGAGAGCATCCTATTTTCACTAATGTCCTTGCATTGATATCAGATTAGCAGAGTCGGAGTTTGATTCTCTCTGCATTTGGATAGATGTCCCGGGACATAGCCTTCCTAGTGATTTGGTAAAGTATGGTGGTAGACAAATCACTGGAATATGAGCTGTGATGATGTGTCTCCCAATGACACAGCATCATTCCTGAACAGATGGGCTTTTTACTTTGTAACTGCATTTGTGTTTCCCCAAGAGACTCCAATGAAGGTGGCCCACATACTCAACTATTTCTATTGGCTGCCTCCCATTTTACTGTGGTGTAGAGCGAGCTAATACCAAAAAGTGTCTCGAGTGGAAGTCAAGAATAGGAAGATACGGAGTTGAATGCTCTCAAAGGAAAACTCAGCTTCCTAACAAAATCTAATCTACCAGGCAGGAGCTGTCAACGTGATAAATATTCTAGTCTTTAATATCGGTTTACATAGCAGGGCCGAAGAAAAGGAGAAATTACTCACATACTCAAAACTTGTTAAAATGATGTTGTTTGACTTCAAGTGACAGAGGTCCAAGGAAATCCAAAGTTAAGATGGAAACTCTGCGGCTGAGCCCAGGTCTGGACTCTCCAGGGGCCTTCTCCTGTGTCGATGCCACCAAAGTAATTACATTGCCACGCATGAGCTCCCCCAGGTTCACCATTTGTGAGAATGAGTTCCTTCAATTAATCTAGCTGCACGTTTCAGCTGCTACCAGGTGCATGCAGCAGCTAGGGCAGAACTTCAAATTGAACTGGATCGCAGAGTTATAGGTTAGGAATGTCTCCGTGGTAGTGTTTGTGAGGCAGAGAGCACTAGCTTTGAAATCGTGCAGAACTATTTATTGAACACCTACTATGTGCCAAGCCCTGTTCGAGGCTCTGGGCATGCAGCTGACAACCAGACTGATGAGGTCCCAGCACTGGTGCAGCTTGCATGTTCATGGAGGTGTTACAGGTTGGGTTCCCCAGGAAAAGACTCTGAGAGGGACCTTTGTGTGCAAGAAGTTTATTGGTGAAGACTTTCCAGCTTAACTCCTGTGGGGGAAAGGAAGGAAGAAAGACTGCCCACAGGCTAAAAGCTTGTCTGTGGGGCCATTTCAACAATGGGTGCAGGGACTCCATGGTAAGCTCTGATGTTGGGATGGCCTTTCAGAATGGTCCCCCATTGCGGGGAAAGGGCCTTCACCTTTAGCCTGGTGCATAGGGCAGCCATTGACTGTGGGTTATCTGGGAAGAGGACATGATCTTGGGCAGGAGGCTCTTACCAGCTAAAAGCAATTGTGGCAGAGGGCTGACTACCGAGGACTTCCAGTTGCAACGCTCATAGCAGTTGGCTGTATAACTCCTGCAGCCTTGAATGGAGACCAGGTCAGCATATAGTAAACACACACACACACACACACACACACACACACACACACACACACACTTAGTAGTTAGAGAGGAATGGGGATAAACATAAGGTGTGTGGGGTTTTTTAGATGAGAGATTTAGGACATATTTGTATGCTGATGGGAATAATTCAATTCACTGATAATGCTAAGGAAACACAAGTTACCTGTAGGTGTCAAGTCCTCCTTTAGGTAAGAGAAGATGGGATCCAGTGCAAAAGAGGAGATGCTGGCCCTAGGTAGGTGAAAGGGCAGCTCACCCCCATCACTGGAGGGATGTGGCGGGTCTGGGTATGGATGGAGCTGGGGAAGAAGGTTTGCTTATGGGAAGATGAAGCAGTCTAAGTCTGATTGCTTTATGTTCTCAAATAATCCAGGTCATCAGTTGGGAGTGAAGGCTGGGAACAGGGAATTTGAGGAGGATGAGGAGAAAGCAAAAAGCGGTATCCCCAAAGGATGGGATCGTGACTTGACTACAGCAATGTAGTAGAATTGCTCGGGACTAGCAAGGACATACTTGAGAGTTACGGCTATAAATGCAAATATATCGTAGGTGTATGCTTTTATCCAAATTCATTCTGTGTATGGGGGCAGGAACAAGGTAGTCAAACAGCTACTTCCAACCAGCTACAGGTTGTGGCAGGTGAGTTTGATGAAAGGAGTTGAGTTGGGGGGGGGCGTAGACTGATCGTGGTGATGAACCATGGATTCTAAGCAACTAAGAAGGGAAGCAAGGGAATGATAGAAACACTACTGACTAGCCATGTGACCCTTTGATTTTCTTTATCAAAATGGGGGGGAAAGTTGGCCCAACTTATCCAATAGTTATTGAGAGCTTACTCTGTGCCCTCCATGATTTTAGATCCATTCTCAACTAATTCTCACAAGTCAGTGAGGCCAGGAGGGATTACCCCACCTGGGACTTGGTGCATACTATTTGCTCAAATACCTTTAGCTCAGTGTCTAAGCCCCATTTTCCAATTCTATAGCTGTCTCAGTGCCACAGGGGAGAGTCAACTGCAATTTCTGGGACATTGATGGATAACCCTTTTGATTTCCAATTTTGGAGCAAATCTTCAACCACTTACTTGCCTTAATGAAGAAAATATAGAGAACTGACTTGCATCATTCTTTGTTGAGATTCTTGGGCCTCATAATTACCTATCACGCGGAACATGTGAGCAAACAAAGCAGTTAGGAACATGTAAATATAACTTTTTAATGTTTTTTTCAGTCTCTGTGACAACATAATGAGTAAACTGAGATTTAGAGTCATTAAGTAATTCATCCAAGCATATTCAACTAAAAAGTGGCAGAGCCAGGATCTGAAACCAGCTGTGAACAGAGAGCTCCAAAATCCATGTGGTTCATGTTACATTCACTGTCTCCTATGGCCATGAGAAGTGGGAGGAGCCGAGGGGAGGAGCCTCTTCATCAAGCCTGCACATCAGAAGCAGAGGGGGGTTGGGAATAGGTTGGAGGTGGGATTGACTCTCTCAGGCATGCAATTAGTAAATAAGGAAACTGCTCCGTGCATGTATTAGAGAATTCCAAGAGTAGATTTTTTATTGTGAGATTTGTGGAGCCTTTTTATCACCTTGAAAGTTTATCTCATTGTTTAAAATCCCTGGGACATATAAAAGGAGCTCAGGGCCTGCCTGAGAGACTCGTTTCAAGCTGCAGTGGACAAGTGAGTGTGTTCAGCCATGAAGCAGTGAGGGTGACAGCGAAGGTGCAAGGAGCTGGGCCAGAGGAGAAGATAGTGAGGGAGGAGCGGGGAATCTGGACAGCTGAGCCTGTGTAGGAACAAGAAAGATCTCTGATGTTCCTCTGAACAGTCAGCCTTCTTCCTTCACATTGGTTGAAGGAGAGAGCAGAGGAAACAGCACTGGCTTGGTCAACTTGATCTTCTAAGTTTATATAAAAGATTTTCTTATAAGCACAGTTTACATGCATGGAAGGTGATGAACACGTCCCAATTTGTCTGGGACTTGCTCCGTTTTAGCATTGAAATTCCTGCATCCCAGAAACCTCCTGAGTCCCAGGCAAAGCAGGATGGTTTGTCACCCTGTGATGCATCCCAGATACATAGGAACTGTACTTCTTTCAAATAGACCCACTCCTCGTCCCCTCATGAGTACATACATTCATGCCAGGCCATGCATTTTCTATTTTTTTATAGAAGGTAGACCAACCCTATTGCAGTTGGGGAACCAAGACATTTTCTCCTGCTTCTGCTTATCTAAGAAATCATTAAGGCCTTGGTAATATAAACTAGCTTATTGCATTATTCTCTCTTCTTTGTGTTCTAAAAATCATCTTCCTGCCAGAATATTTTGAGCTGTTTTCTCCTGCTCTTGGAAACGTAGTTTCCAACATAATGTAGATGGCATACAAGTGCTGGCTAATTAAGCTTTGACACATGACCATATTTTGCGAGGTGGCTGTAGCATGCTTCACGTAGGAGGGGGGAAAATTAGGAAGAGTATAATCAGGTTTTCATTTCTTCTAGCATAGGTGACCCAGTGCCATCTGTTACCCTCCATGGAGGAGGCTTCAGGTTAGCAGCTAATGCTTTACTGAAATTAATGTGGATGTGATTGCCATTTTCTCTCCAGGAGTGTGTGCCTGGCTTATTGGGAAGAGAGAAATGGTCCAACTTAACATTCCATCCATGAACTGAGGACAGGAGGATAAGCATTTACTATATGCAGTCATGGGGAGGGGGAGAAGGAAGCAGCAGTGTGATAAGAAGTAGCAAATCTATGAAATTATTTTAATAGCACTATCGAGTAGGCTGCTTCCAACCAGCACTTGAAGACTGTCCTGTGAATGTTCCATCCTTTGAGATTATACTGAATTTCTCCTTTTCTAGTAGAGGGTGGCCAAGAAACTCTTTCTCAAATCAAAATTACAGATCACATGCTTTTGCAGCACTAATTTTCCTTTGCCACATTTATTCATTTTTTTATGTAATGTAGGTCTGTATAATCATCTGATTAACTCTGTCTTCCCCATTGGATGGTAATCCTTGAGTATAAAGACCACATGTTCTTCCCTGTGATCCTCAGAACCCAACACAAAGCATGGCAACAAGAAGGCACTCAATGATTTGAATGAGTGAGGAGCAGCATGCCCCGTGTCTCCTTCACAGGACTCATGCCACTTTAGCACACTCCTGTCTACCTGCTCCCTTACTGTCAGCTACCTGAGTTCCCAGGACTTTCACAGTGCTGGGCATGCAGTGAATGAGAGTTGTATGAATGGCTGCATAAAAGGGCGTGATACAATTGGTATTACTTGATTTTGCTCAGAGTTGTAATATACTGCATGTACAGCAGGAATTGCACAGCACCTTCACCCATCAATGCTTTAGATCGCTGATAGCCTGACAAGCTTGTCTTTCCTGCCAACAGTGGCTGGGACTCTGCAGAGATAGTCATTGTTATTGAAAAGAACTATCAATACTAAATGCAGAGCTGAGATCACGTTCCATTCTCAGATTTTTACCAGCTCCTTGCTTGGTGTTGGCAGGTAAGTATGCTCGTTTCATTGTCTGTAACGTGGACATTAGTAATGCCTGGTGTCCTCATCTCTTAGGACTCTTGTGAGGAACAGGTGGGAAAAAAAGATAAAAATAAAGTCACTGAGAAAAGTATAAAACACCAAGGACACCAAAGGTGACTTATTTCCTTACTGTGTGGTTCGCCAGAGGCATCTTTGCATTTCTGACAAGCCTGTAACTATGCTTCCCTTTTGTTGAATTCTGATTCATACATCCAAGAAAGGACAGTAGGGCATGCTTTTCTACTTGATGATCAAAATCTAACCCAGGTTTCCTGGAGCCCCCCAAAGACCCTTGGAGAACAAATATTGCCCAGATACTCATCTTTAGGAGAGAAACTCCACATTGCTCATTTATTCTAAATAAAGTTGGTATGTTTTCTCATTGTAAAAGCTTATAAGACGCACACAGAAATAAAGACAAGAAGGAAGACAAAATACACATAGTCCGACCTTTGAGAATCAACCAGTGTTAATATTACGCTATATTTCTTTCCAGTAGTTTTTCAATAAGTAGTTTTTCTCTTGTAAAAGATAAAATTTTATATCTTACTTTTTTATTTTTCCACTTTATCATAAACTCCCAGTAACATCATCTTATACTGACTATATAACTCAGCTTCATATGATGTTGTGAAGATGAAATGAAAGAGTGAATCTATTTGAAGCGATTTCTAATGAGGACCCAATAAATACTAACTGCTGCCATTATCAATAATGACATCATTATCATCAATATTGCCATAGTTTACTTAATGTTCTCTTATTTTGAACATGTAGAGTGTTTCTGAATATTTGGATATTGGGAGTAAGTTCTGTACTGTTAATTCTTTCCTTCATAAGCTTCTCCAAAATGCTAAGTAGTTGTCATGATTATTTCGAACCTCCCCCAAAGCAAAGAACATAATTTTTATAAGAAATAAAATAATACCTATTAATTCCTTTTCCTCTTTAAAAAAAAGTTTTATTTATTTTTTAGAGAAAGAGAAAGGGAGAGGGATAGAGAAATAGAAACATTGATGAGAGAGAAACCATCGAGCAGCTGCCTCCTGCACACCCCCACTGGGGATCGAGCCTGCAACCCGGGCATGTGCCCTGACCAGGAATCAAACCAGTGGCCTCTTCGTTCCTGCTCAACCTCTGAGCCCCACCAGCTGGGCTCCTTTTCTTCTTTAGTCTTTCTGTACTGGACTCAAGTAATGTGCACGCGTGTTAGAGCTGGGATCTCAGAAAACCTGTGAGAACATACCAAGTTCTTAGTGCTCATAGTCATGTCTGCTGCCGTTTGTAGCTTAGAGCATTTATCTACCTTTCGTTGGCCTTTGCTTTCTTGTCATGATCATTTCTAAGCAAACAGAAGCTGACTCTGGGCTGGGCACTCATCATACGTTCATGCACAACTGCACCTGGACGGTTCCTGCCTGCCTGGGTCCTACAAGACTATTGGGCCCAGAAGAGGAGATGTTAGGGGCCAGACCAAAGCAGAAAGGTATTCATGGAGGTACCATGCCAGTGGTTAAGCACATGGGCCCCAGGTTCACAGGGGATCCCAGTTCTGTTGCCTTTTAGCTGTCTGGTCTTCAGTGTGTGACTTAACCTTCCCAAGCTTCATTTGTTGATGTCGATGATGGTGACAGTAGCAGCACTTTCCTCCCAGGGTTGTGCGGATTTGTAGCTATCACATATGTGAAGCTCTCAGCACAATGCCTGGTGCAGAGACATAGCCCTGTTATCATCATCACTCTCATTCCTCCTCCCTCTTCCGCCTCCTTCTCTAAGTGACCCAAGGTAGCATGCATGAGACAACATCAATTACCACCAAGGAGAGGAACTGAGATTGTAGCCTGGGAAGAGGTACCAAGTGTGCAATCTTAAGGGTGAGATAATAAAAAGACATGAGTAACTGGGGAGGGATAAAG